GTTAGATTTAGAAAGTGAAACATATAATACAGAATGCACACGACAGCAACCTCAATTATCAAGTACAAAACTTTAATAAGTAGGCAAATTACAATGAAAAACAAAAAATACACTAAGTAACAAAATGAGGCAAACAGTAATCAAGAGTACTTTACCCAAATTTTCCAAGCCTCAAGGCTGAAACACAAGTTACCAACTGCCCCCCCAATGTTTTGGCACCAACTGGTTGCCTTTATCAAGGGTACCTGTATCCATGTTCTCAGTGTCTGCTTTTAAAGCCCTCATACAGCTGATGGCCATCAGATGAAATTATAACCATCCCCGGAAGTGGCAATACGCCAGGTATACTTAGAAAAAACTCACCATACATGACATTTATACATAAATAAATATCATAATAATATTATATTCATTGTAATAAATATTTAACAAAGGCAAATGCCTACGTGAGTATTATTATCGCGCATGTGCATCATATGGCGTATAGTATCATACCGCCATCTTAATTGCTGGCACCGTGTGCCCAGTCTAATATCAGCCGCGCATACACATTATACTAATCAGGCACTCGAGCCGCGCACTGCGATCCCTTATCAGCCGCGTGCGCATTAGAAATAGCACACTAACTATTCATTTGTCTCTCAATGTGATTTTGGTTTATTCAGATTTAGAAAGTGGAACATTTAATTTACTAGATTGTGTGCTCCTATCCAATATGAGTGAGCAATCTGTTAATTTAAAACCTCGTCCCATTTTTTAATATTAGGGCTTAAAACTTTTTGTGGTTCGTCTCTAAAAAAATGTAGCTCTAGTGATGTATGTGTCTTTAATTTTTTAGCTATCAATACATTTTCCAATTCTATTATCTTATACATGTAAAACTAGGGATTTTTGTAAATCATTTTTTATTTATAAATAAGAAAATACCTCATTATTTGATGTCTTATCCTCTCTGTAATTTATTAAATTATTAAATCTGTTGATTTCAGACCAGCTCCTTATTTAGATGTATTCTGACTATTTTTCATTTGTCCACATTGATATCTAAAATGTTAACCTTTAGTATAGAAGCTGGAAGTGAAGAAACATTTTTTTTTTTTTAAAGTTCAAATCTTTTTTAATTTTAAATATTTTGAATAGGTCTTTCATTATTCTAGATCTTAAAATATACATAGTTTTCTTATTATCATTACTATATAATGATATTATATATCATTATTATATGCCTTTGTGTCAATGATTGTTCTAATTGATACCCCATTTCAACTTGAGATTTCTTATTTAATGTCTCCAATATTTATTTTAGTTTATTCAATTTATAATAATCTGTAATGTTTGAAAAGCCTTAATTACTTTTTAGAGATAACTTCTTATAATTTAATCTGGGACACTTACCCAACCAAATGACTTTTCACAAAATCTAGCCATAGATGTGGAAATCCTAAGGGAATCATTCTAAATAAGTAAGACCACTTAGGTAGAGTGTACGTTTTTATGGAGTTTATTATAATTGACCATAATGTTTCTATTTGTTTCCACTCTTGAAGCAAAATGTTATTCTGTTTTAATAATGATAATGCATAAAATTCTGTTATTTTAGATATATCTTTACAAATGTTTATGTAGTTATTATCTATCAAATCATTTTTTCTATCAGCATTTATCTTACATCTAGGGAGCAATTACTAGATAGGGCAGATGATTTTTCCCAAATAAGTTTATATCCTGATGTATCTGAATATGTTTGTATTATTTTCATTAGTTCTTTCATGGATTCCCAAGGATTTTGTAATGCCAAGACAATGTCATTTGCATACATTATAATCTTTGATTGATATTGATACGATTCAAAATCTCGTATTGCTACATTTTGTCTAATTGACTGTGCTAGAACATCATATAATAGGGGAGACATGGGCAACCCTGGGGTGCTGTTATTTCCTGGGAACCAGTCAGAGGGCACTCCAGGCTAATTATCCTTGCTATTGGGTTGAAGTATCTCATTGTGCTCATTGATGTCCCGAACTGATATTCGCCGAACGGACGGTGAACATATGGTGAACATATGTGTGTTCGGTCATCATTGAGTCATCATTGACCCTGTACCTCACAGTACCTCACACATTCAGCCACATTCCAGCAGACCCTCAGCAGACCTGGACACCTCCTAAGAATGCAGCTTCACAATGAATGTAAAATGGAGCTGTCCAGGAGGTGGGAGGGTCTGGGAGGAAGGGTCTGCTGCTGATTGGCTGGAATGTGTCTGCTGACTGTGAGGTACAGGGTCAAAGTTTACTCAATGATGACGAATAGGGGGCGGGCCGAACAGCGCATATGTTCACCATCTGTGGCGAACCGTTCGGCAAACCGTTCGGGATATCACTATTCAGGAGTAAAGTGCCATTTTGCTCCACATTATCCAATATGTCTATTAATCTAGACATGTTAATAGATAATAACCTCCCTTGAATAAATCGTGCCTGGTTTGGATGTATGAGGAAGCCAATACTTTTTTTGAATATTTCTGCAAAAATGGCAGTAAATATTTGCGTTCGGCGTTCTATAAGGCAATAGTAAATATTTCGCATTCTATAAGGCAATAGGGCGGTAATTTAGAATTCTTGTAGGATTTTAATTTATTATTGAGGGATCTCTTCCCCATTCCTAAAGAAATTAATTTTTTTTGTTAAATATGGAGTAATGTTCTCTCTAAAGGATTAGTTACTATATTGATCAGGACCTGAAGATTTTCCTAGTTTACATTTATCTATTATTCCTTTAACTCCTTCCTAACTAATAGTTTTATTTAAATCTTCTGATTTAATTTAGAGAGATGTCATTTTTTTCAAAAAAATCTTGTAATTTAATCTGATTAATTTTCTCTGGGAGATTATATAATGTTTGATAGAAATTGACAAAACTTTTCTGAGACTCTTCTGGAGGTCATAAAATGTGATCGTTTTCTATGATTTTTGAAATAAAGTTTTTGATTTTGTCCTTTGTTAATTTGTATGACATTAATTTATTCGCTTTGTTTCCTAAATAATATCTATTTGTGTTAAATCTATTTAATATTGTATGGGTTTTATCCATCATTATCATATTAATATCTTACTGAATTATATCAATCTCCCGTGTTATATTAGGATTCGGAGAGGCTTTGTTTTCCTTAGGCATCCAATGCGATATATAGATCAGACAATTTTTGTGACTTGTTTTATTTTACTAGTGTTCTTATTTTTATTAGATATCCTCATAGTACACTTTTATACATAAACTATATTATTGCTGGTGATATATCTTTATCTCTGTTTTCTAAGAAGAATAAATTTGTATATTTTTGTGGATTGAGAATATATTGTTGACTTTAATTTAGTCTCCAATTTGACCGAAGTCTTATTAGATCATCTTCCATATCCATAATTAACAAGTTATGATCTGACCAAGTAAATTCTTTCACAAAAATCCTTGTTACTCATTTAGCTATGCTTCATTCTATGAAAACAAAGTCTATCCGAGAATATGTATGACATGTTTTATAGAAATAGATCAGATCCAGGTCTTCGGGATGAAACACTCTCCATATACCAAATAGAGAATTTAGTTTGGTCATTTCTTTAAATCTAACTGAATTGATCGAGAGCTGTGTCTTGTTTTAGAACTGTGTATGATCTTCTATCTAGTCTTATGTCCATTAAACAATTACAATCTCCTAGTAATATTAACTCTCCTTGATCCTTAATAGGACTTTCTTAATAAAGTTTATCACTGCATGGTTAGGAACATAAACGTTAACAATTGTATATTTTTTATGTGGTATTTCTCCTCTCAGTATAATGTAGGACCCTCTTTATCTATCTCCTGATGGATTACTATGCACGGGGTCTTGCTAGAAATTACTTTTGCAACCCCACTCTTTTTTTTGCCACTCGCTCATCCTTTCAGGGTTATGCACTGAAATGAGAATCACTGGGGATTCAAAGTGAAATTCACATTGGAGGCCACAAAACTGAAATGGAGACATTCTCCAAGTCAGCTATGTTTCCAATTTAGCTATTTTGTCCTCAATTTTGAAATTCGCTTTAAAGTCTTACTGTACTTAATAACTCTTAAAATGTTTGGCAAATATGTGCCTTTGTTTTAAGAACTTTAAATGAATATTTTAACTCCCTAATATTAATGCCCACTGGACCGCAACAAGGGAGAGACAGTTAAACAGCCTGCGCAGCTTAACCCTTTCAGTGACTGAGATATGCAGTGCATTAGTTTGCTCCAATACTTCGCACTATTTATACCCCAGCCCTGAATGGGTCTAAAAGAATATTTGAAGCACTTTAACAAGTCTTCTGCAGTAGTTATGGTGCTAGGAGTGTCTTTACACACTCACAGAAGGAGCTTCCATTTACTCCACTTTTTAAACCTGCTGGCTGAGATGGTAAGCTGAAGGCTCTCAACCAATGAGCTAAGCCAGGGACCTCTGGTTTAGCTCAATGTACGAGCTCCTGGACGCCCAAGTGGATGGGATGGTGTCCATGAGATATGGTATAGAATGAATCTATAGGTATATTTAAAACCTAGCAACAGCCACGCCAATAAAACACCAACAAAGAACAAACCAACATCACTATAACAGTGTAAATTAGAAGAACAGAATTTATTGTTGTAATAAAACATACAATATAGAAAATATATGTGTCTAGTAAAATAGTGGTGGTTCTGTCATGCCATTAAGTATTTTATTTGTCAATGATGAAATGATGTGTGAGTGTATGGGAATGTGTTTGTCTTTGCATTATTTCTGAATTTGTCATTGTCGTGAATATGCATTCGTCTCTGTCTGTATATGAGTAGGTGTTTCTTTGTGCATAAAAGTTGGTGTCGCTGCCTGAATGATTTTGAATATATTTATGTGAATGAATCTGCAGGCTTGTCTATGTACATCTGTTGTGTATACCCAGGTGTCCATGGAAGGAGTAGTGTTTGATTTTTGTTTGTTTGGGTCACTGCGCTTTTCCTCTGGATTCCAGTTCTGCCTCTTTGTGAATTTGATCTATGGTTTTCGGACCCTGGGGTTTATGTCGAGGGATCCAGTGATTTTTCCTTAAATCCAGCACATCTTGCACCATAAATCGAATCCGTGAAGATATTGACTTGTTTTTAATACAGATACCAACCTTGTTGAAATAGTCATCCATGTAAGACTCTCCATTTTCCAGGTACTTCCCAATTGATGTTAGCAGAAGGCAGATGCATTCCATGGACTCTTCGCTGTTCCTGTTCAATAGTTTACTAAGAATGTCTTTCATGGTGTCTTCAGAAAGTAATTTTAATTTACATAGCTCCCCAATAAATGTGATGTTCCCTTGGGATCGCTTGCGTGATTTCTTGCAGGCTTCACTTAATTCCTCCTTTAATCGAGACTTTTCCTCAGGTAACGTAGCTGCATCCAGTTCCTTTTGCAATTTTTCAATTCTTTCACCTCCATTTTCCCCTCTCTCAAACTCCTTCTGGCAGAGGCTTATTAGCTGCCTGCGGAACGTAATGCAGATTTCACGATTGTCTTCGGTTGGGACCTGAAGCCTCATTAGCCAGTTGCACATACTAGCATAAATAACAGCGAAATGTGGCTCTGCTATCGCTTTTTCAAAAATGAGTTCTACAACGCCTTTCAGCTCATACTCTGTCTCTACAGAGAGGTCCTTCAGCTGTTTGATAAGGTTTTGAAACGTCTGTGGAGTGATCTTATTCAGAATACCACGGACTTTGCAAAGCAATTCTTGTGTCTTGACATTGTTGGTATCTTTGTTTGCCCTTTTCATTGGAGGTTTCCAAGCTTTGTCAGATTTTTGCAGTGTAATGTTCTCATGTAGTTGAAGGATCCTGCGAGGTTCTTTACCAGGAGTGTGATGAGATCTCATTTGACCCATTCCAGGTCGTTGTCTGTGATTACCCTTAGCACAACGGGAAACATTTTCAGATATAGGTGTGCAATTCTTCCTGGTAAGTTGTGATGGATGCACTGGCCGAAGGTGAGGTCTAATAAGCATACCTTGGTAGATATTTAAGATTTCGAAGAAGTCCTTTGGCTGCAGTGTGGTTGATTGGAATTGTAGTAAAGAATCCCTATCATAGCGTATTCTTTCTACCTTTGTTTTAATATTTGTTTTCTCTTGGAGTGCAGGTACCGCAAGGTCTTGGCTTTCTGTGATTTGCATTGGTACTATACCGGCCTCACCAGGTGGTCCTTTTTCTTTGTCTTCTTTCTTTGGCAATGGCTGCTCTCCGGGATCACTGCTCAGGCTCACACGTGCTTCAGGTTGATTATTCTTAATCTCAGTTTGGTTCTGCTCAGCGATGCTCTCTTGATTGATTTGAAGCAACCCCTCTGGCTGAATAGTGGGGGAATCCAAATTAGTCTCAGAGTGATAAGTCACATTGTTTACTGGCAGCTCCACTAACATTTCACCAGTGTGTGGTTTGGCAGGACAAACTGGGCTCTCTAGTAGACTACCAGGTTCCTGAACTGTGATTGAGTCGTGAGAATCTAGATGTGTAAGCTCAGGTGAACAAGTTGAAGAGGACTGTGGGTGCCTAAGGTGTACTGGAATCTCCTCTGTCAATATGTTTGTATGAGGTTCGATAGTGCAAACAGTGCATTCTAGTGAATTGTTGTCTTCTAAACATGTGATAACCTCTGTAGGCTCTGGAGACATAAACTGCACGGAATGACAATGAACTGTGATTGGGTTCTTAGAATCTAGATGTGTAAGCTCAGGTGAACAACTCGAAGAGGACTGTGGGTGCCCAAGGTGTACTGGAATCTCCTCTGTCAATCTGTTTGTATGAGGTTCGATAGTGCAAACAGTGCATTCTAGAGAATTGTTGTCTTCTAAACGTGTGATAACCTCTGTAGGCTCTAGAGACATAGACTTCAGCAGAGGACAAGGAATATCCTCTAGACTTGTGATGGGTTCAGGATGTAGAATAGGAATCTGATCACAATATTCTGCAGAATATTTCTTTTCATTTTCCAGTCCATTTGTGTCTACTTGCTTTTCTGGGACACTTGCATCCTTTATAGTTGCTATGTGTTTTTTTGGAAGTAATGTAGGCTTTACCTTAGAAAAAAGGAATGGGTCCCTGCAATGAAAATAGGAAAAGTAAGAAAAAAAATTGTAAAAAATGATATCCTTTCCTCCCTTTCCATCCATCAGCCCATTTTGTCACGTATCATATTCCTCTCACTTTCATCCTGTCAGCAACTCTTTCACTCTTTATCAGTCAGTATTGCACAGCTTACAGTGATACTATCACACCATTTATGGTTCACACATTACATTATACTTTCTGTCATTTCAGTATATAGTTAATTTTGTATTATTAAAGCTTATGTTTATATTAAAATTCATATCTTATTGAAATTAGGTAATGCCTAGTAAGTCACGTTGCTCTAGTACTCCCCAGAGATTCGTGATGTTGGCCCAGAAAGACCATTGACATCTTTCTCTGTCTGTGGTTCTTCTCTCATTGGTTTCCTGTGTACACAGACAGCCAGTGATAGAACCTGGGTATTGGCTAACTGAGGACCCTGCAGTTTCATTTGGATAACCTGATAGGATTATTGTCAGTTATTCTGTGTCTCATGGTACACTTACCTAGGTGGTCGAACATAAGTAATTGGTTTGTTGGTTATTGTTGGAGTCACCCGAATATAGTATGGTACATCGGGAATCTTCTCCTCTTTTCCATATCTGACATAGTTATTATTATGTCTAAAGTTTTTGAAGAAACACACAAAAAAAAAATAAACAAATTTAGGTTGATTATTAGAGCAGGTTATTAGAGCTTAAAATCTCAATTTGTTAATACAAAACATCAACAATAGAAAAAAACCTACAATATCCACCCCCCCCTTTGATTAATGTAATCATATAGTATTTACCTTTTATCAAGCACAGCAAACTTAGATGGAACAGAAGGGGGAGGGCAAAGACTCTTTGTGCCTTCTTGGCAACGTTTTAGAACTTCTTCCACAAACCCGCCATTCTGTTCCCGTGGCTCCCGTCTCTTCCCCTTCTCAGTTTCTAGAGAAATATCCAGATTAGGTGATATCTGGGGGAATGTCTGGGGCTCTGCTTTAAGAGCTAGCCTATTGAGAAAAGAAAAAGTGATTAGTGAAGTTTCATATGTTGCACATTTGATGTTATATTTCTGGAGTAATCGAGTGTGTTTAGGAGATGATAATAGACGTTATTATATATTATGCATTGCTATTTGGGTTGTATTGTAATGGTTAACTAATGCAATTTGTGATTCGTGCTGTTGGCTCAGAAAGACCATTGACATCTTTCTCTGTCTGTGGTTGTCTCATTGGTTTCCTGTGTACACAGACAGCCAGTGAGAGAACCAGGGTATTGGCTTACTGAGGAACCTGCAGTTTCATTTGGATAACCTTATGGGATTATGGTCAGTTATTCTGTGTCTCATGATACACTTACCTAGGTGGTCGAACATAAGTCATTGGTTTGTTGGTTATTGTTGGAGTCACCCGAATATAGTATGGTACATCGGGAATCTTCTCCTCTTTTCCATATCTGACATAGTTATTATTATGTCTAAAGTTTTTGAAGAAACACACAAAAAACAAAAAGTTGATTATTAGAGCATATTATTAGAGTTTAAAATCTCAATTTGTTAATACAAAAAATCAACAATAGAAAAAAACCTACAATATCCCCCCCCCCCTTTGATTAATGTAATCTCATAGTATTTACCTTTTATCAAGCACAGCAAACTTAGATGGAACAGAAGGGGGAGGGCAAAGACTCTTTGTGCCTTCTTGGCAACGTTTTAGAACTTCTTCCACAAACCCGCCATTCTGTTCCCGCGGCTCCTGTCTCTTCCCCTTCTCAGTTTCTGGAGAAATATCCAGATTAGGTGATATCTGGGGGAATGTCTGGGGCTCTGCTTTAAGAGCTAGCCTATTGAGAAAAGAAAAAGTGATTAGTGAAGTTTCATATTTCGCACATTTGATGTTATATTTCTGGAATAACCGAGTATGTTTAGGAGATGATACAAGAAGCCATTATATATTATGAATTGCTATTTGGGTTGTATTCTAATGGTTAACTAATGCAATTTGTGATTTGTGATGTTGGCTCAGAAAGACCATTGACATCTTTCTCTGTCTGTGGATCTTCTCTCATTGGTTTCCTGTGTACACAGACAGTCAGTGATAGAACCTGGGTATTGGCTAACTGAGGACCCTGCAGTTTCATTTGGATAACCTTATAGGATTATTGTCAGTTATTCTGTGTCTCATGGTACACTTACCTAGGTGGTCGAACATAAGTCATTGGTTTTTTTGGAGTCACCCGAGTATAGTATGGTACATCGGGAATCTTCTCCTCTTTTCCAGATCTGACATAGTTATTATTATGTCTAAAGCTTTTAAAGAAAAACACAAAAAACAAAAAGTTCAGACTAATTCTTGCAGCACCCAGCTTAGAGGTTAAAATCTCCATTTGTTAAAACAAAACATCAACAATAGAAAGAAACCTGGAGCTGGGGCTCTGCTTTAAGAGGTTCCCCAAGTAGGAAAGAAAAAGTGATTAGTGAAGTTTCAAATTTCACACGTTTGATGTTATATTTCTGGAATAACCGAGTGTGTTTAGGAGATGATAAAATAATTAGCATTATATATTGCTATTTGGGTCGTAGTTTAATGGTTAAATAATTCAATTTGATGTGCAATACTTGTGACATGTCTGGACTAAATTAATCCTGTGCTTAATCCCAGGATGGAGCTGCCCAATCAGGGTCTCAAACACCGTTACTAATTCCTATATATTTTATCTTCTTTTTACCGCTGTATATCATGCCTGCGTATTTTATTTTAAATTCCATTACTACATATGGGCTGGGCTACACACATTCATTGTTTTGTTCATCTCATCTGTTAAGAAAAATAACTAATAGATTAACCCCTTAAGGACTGGACTGTTTTTGCGATGTTGTACATTTGCGACCAGGCATATTTTTACACTTTTGTGGTGTTTGTGTTTGGCTGTAATTTTCCGCTTTCTCATTTACTGTTCCCATACAAATTATATATTGTTTTTTCAGGACAAAAGGGGCTTTCTTTACATACCATTATTTATATAATCTCATGTATTTTAATTTAAAAAAAATACAAAAATCTGATGAAAAATTGAAAAAAATACATGTTTTTTGACTTTTACTTGAAAACTCTTTTATTCATCTACAAAAGCAAATGAAAAAAACTGCTAAATAGATTCAAAATTTTGTCCTGAGTTTAAAAATACCTAGTGTTTACGTGCTTTTTTGCTTTTTTTTGCATGTTATAGGACTATAGGTACAAGTAGGATATTGCGGTTTCAAAACATACATTTTTAAAATTTATCAATAGTGACATTGTAACACTATTATCTGTCATAAATCTCTGAATAACACCCCACATGTACATATTTTTTTTAAAGTAGACAACCCAGGGTATTCAATATAGGGTATGTCCAGTCTTTTTTAGTAGCCACTTAGTCGAAAACACTGGCCAAAGTAAGCATTCATATTTGTTTGTGTGTGAAAAAAGTAAAAAAACTAAATTGAGCGCTAATTTTGGCCAGTGTTTGTGACCAAGTGGTTACTAAAAAAGACTGGACATACCCCATTTGCAATACCTTGGGTTGTCTTCTTTTGCAAATGGTATGCCATCATGGGGGTAATTCTCATTCCTGGGCTACCATACGCTCTCAAAGGCAACGTAACCAACCTGGCCATTTTCAATGTAAAAATATTTGGCCCATATATTTGACCTTGTAACTTTCAAAAATGCTATAAAACCTGTACATGGGGGGTACTGTTTTACTCAGGAGACATCGCTGAACACAAATATTAGTGTTTAAAAACTGGAAAACGTATCATAACAATTATATCATCAGTAAAAAGTGCTGTTTGTGTGTGAAAATGCAAAAAAAGTCACTTTCACTGACAATATCATCGCTGTGATATGTTTTACTGTTTTGAATCACTAATATTTGTGTTCAGCGAAGTCTCCTGAGTAAAACAGTACCCCCCATGTACAGGTTTTAGGGTGTCCTAGAACGTTACAGGGTAAAATACAGTGCTAACAAATTAAATTCTCTGGACTTTCGGCCTGGGTTGGCAGGCAGGTCCCTCAAATTGCAATCAATAAAATTACTTAATTATGTAAAAATATTACATAAATACGCACGTAGAATTTAAATATATATGCATATTTATATATTTGAAGTCTACGTGTATATTTATATTATTATTTATGTAATTTTGTATATGGACGTATGTATATTTCTTATTATTTTTATTTATTTTTATATACATAGATATATATACAAATTCATTCTAAGTGTATTTTGATATAAATATATATATATTAATTTTTAAATACAGTTAGAATAAAATTTCATATAGCTATATAATTTTTTTTTAATTTTTTATTATTATTTAAAAAAAATTTTATTTAATTTAAATTACTTATTATTTATATTTTATAATAATATATATATACAATATATATAGTTATTATATATATTATATATATACGTGTGTAATTTAATTATAAGTGTATTTTATATTAATATAAGTACATATTAATATAAAAATACACTTAGTATGACATTATATATATATGATATATAGACATATTATATAGATATAATATATGTCTATATATCATATATACACATATATAATTATTTATTTATTTTTTATTAACATTAACTTTATTTTTATTTTTTGATTTTACACTAGCAGGGAGACTGCCTGTCAGCACAGACAGTCCCCCTGCAGGCAGACACTAGGACACCTATTGTGACCATGTGATCGCTGTGTTAAGCGATCACATGGCCACAGGGGTCCTAATTCAGTGTGGGGAGACTGTCTGTCTGGGCTGCAGGCAGTCTCCCCACAACCGGAGCCACGCTGATCGCCGCCGGGGGAACGACGGCGATCAGGTAAGTAGCTCTGACCGTTAGGACGGTTCAGGACCGTCATCGGTCGGCAACGCAAAAATGCCGATGACGGTCCTGAACCGTCCTCGGTCCTTAAGGGGTTAAACTCAAATTTACATCTTAAGGATTTTAACCCGTATATTACAACCATTCATTTCAATTACACTATTAAATCTACAGGAAAACTATATTATTTTATAGAAATTATGCCTATTAACCAACCATCCTTTATTCTAATCTCTATCCAACTCTGACCCCCATCTTCCAATAACCCCATCTAATATGATGCCTGCAGTCACTGGCCACTTACCTGCCTGTAGAAGGCTGACAAACAATATCATCTACACTTGTGACAGGTTCTGACAGTAGAATATTATTCTGTTTATAACACTCTGCACAGAATGTTTCTGCATTTTCCAGTCTTTTTTTGCTGACTTCCTTTTCTGGGACATTTCGAGCCTTTTTAGTTGTTTTGTATTGAGTTAGAAGTAATGTAGGCTTTACCTTAGAGAAAAGGAATGGGTCCCTGCAATGAAAAGAGGAAAAATTCAAATACAGTTGTAGCAATGATGTCCTTTCCTCCCTTTCCATTCTTCCGGTCCGTCAGTTACCCCATCTCTTGTTATCCATCAGTCATTATTGCACAACTTATAGTGACACTATCACATCCTCTATGTGTCATACATTACATTCTGGATACAGTAATATCAGTAAATAGTCTATTTTGTGATTTGTGATGTTGGCTCAGAAAGACCATTGACATATTTCTCTATCTGTGGTTCTTCTCGCCTTGGTTTCCTGCGTACACAGACAGCCAGTGAAAGAACCAGTGTTTTGGTTTACTGAGGACAATGCAGTTTTATTTGGATAACCTTATAGGATTGCGGTTGGTTATTCTGTGTCTCATGGTACACTTACCTAGGTGGTCGAGCATATCGTATTTCTACGTTGGATTTCTTTGGAGTCACCCGAATATAGTATGGTACATCGGGAATCTTCTCCTCTTTTTTATATCTGACATAGGTTTCATAATGTCTAAAGCTTTTAAAGAAAAAAAACAAAAAGTTCAGGCTGATCTTTACAGCACCCATCGCAGAGGTTAATATCTCAATTTGTTAAAACAAAAGCAATAGAAATAAAGTACAAGACCCCCCTTTGATTAATGTGATCACAGAGTATTTACCTTTTATCAAGCACAGCAAATTTAGATGTAACAGAAGGGGGAAGGCGACGTCTAAATGTGCCTTCTTGGCAACATTTTAGAACTTCTTCCACAAACCCGCCATTCTGTTCCCGCAGCTCCCGTCTGTTCCCCTTCTCAGTTTCTGGAGAAATATCCAGATTAGGTGATATCTGGGGGAATGTCTGGGGCTCGGCTTTAAGAGCTAGCCTATTGAGAAAAGAAAAAGTGATTAGTCAAGTTTCATATGTTGCACATTTGATGTTATATTTCTGGAGTAATCGAGTGTGTTTAGGAGATGATACAAGAAGCCATTATATATTATGCATTGCTATTTGGGTTGTATTGTAATGGTTAAATAATTCAATTTAATATATAAAACCCGTGAAAGTTTTCAAGACGCATGTCATCCTGCATTTCATCCCAGGATGGTGCTGTCTGATCAGGGACTCAAAAAACCTTTATTAATTCCTAGATATTTGACTTGTTTTTTACACCCCTATATATCTTGCCTGCTTATTTTAATGCAATCACTACAAATGGAATAAGCTACACACGTTTATTGTTTTATTCATTTTTTATCTCATCTGTTAAGGAGAATAACTAAGAGATGAAACTCAAATTCACATTCAAAATATTTTAACCCTTATGTTACTCCCATTCATTTCAAGATGACACTATTCAATCTACAGGAAAGCTGTGTCATTTTATAGAATTGATGCCCATTAATAAACCATCCTTTAATCTAATCTCTATCGAACTCTGACCCCCATCTTCTAATAACCCCATCCAATAGGATACCTGCAGCTGCTGCCCACTTACCTGTCCGTAGAAGGCTGGATGTTTGGCTGTTTTCTGAATTCTTTTTTTTTTTTTTTTTCTTTTTTTTTGTTGTGCATAGGCTTTTAACAGTCGGTTGTGAGGTACCCCAATGGCATTCCTCCAACGCTTTGTAGACAGTTTAACAGAGGGGTACATGCAATATCTGGCACAAATTTTATGTTTAAAGGTAGTTGAGTAATAACATGGTAGGAAACAAGCTTAGTTAACATTATACTGTGTATCGCTATTGTGTTCAGTCATCTGAGTGCATATCTACTAAGTGTATGAATAAAGTTAAGCTAAATGCTATGCTGGGATGCACTCTGCGTCAACATGCTAGTTCTAAGCAATCTTCTATAAGAGTGATTCGAGTAAAAAACAATAAAGGGTCTCATGGCAGAGTTTTGCTCGTAACAGTGAGTAGATTCGTTGTGCTATCTAGCCAAAAGAGTATTATGCTGCATAATAGCTAACTAGGCATTAGGGTAGGGCCCACTAACTTGCATTCATATGTTGATGGTAATAGGGAAGCTTAATCTGCGTGGTGTGTGCCGTGGCTGTTATTGTATCGTCAGGTAGCTATTATGCTGGTCAGGAGTGTTCCGGGCTAAGTTATAAAATAAAAAGGGGGTCAGTTGTTATCCCATCAGGCCTGCGCCTCCCTGGCAGCATTAGAAACCTATGTAGGCCGCTATGAGGCATCACATAACTAATAATTTATGTGAAAATAATGGTGAATGCAATCATATAGATTAACAATTAGTAAGACAGCTTATGCGAGACCAAAAGAAAGGGGGGGAAACTTAGGCATCAACCATGGGACATATAATATGTAATCCACAATTTTTAAATAAACTGGTAGCTATGGCATTCTCTGCTTGTAAAAGGGTACCTAGGCAACATAAAAAGTTTCAAGACCACCAGAGTGTCTGCGCCTCGGCCCCTGTCTTGAGCGGTCATCTCCCAGTCTTGTAATTTGCAGGTTAGCCGGGAGCTGTATTGGTCAGTGTCCCGATCACAGTCAGCCGACTCCCACATCTGGGAAACGGAAACCCCGGTAGTGAGGGTATATGGAGGCTTGCCAGGTGCACCGATGGTGAGGGTAGGACTGGTGTCCCATCAAAGCTCCGTCTGCGGTGATCCTTGTCGGGGTTCTCTGCCTGTTACGCTTTCTGGTAGCCCGCATTGCTGTATGTTGGTCATCCTCACGGCAGGCATCCTGAGTTCTCCTGTGTTGGGTTGCGCTCTGCTGGTCGGAGGTTGTCGGGGCCATTGTGTGCGGAGCAGGTTGTGCATGTTGGTGGGTCCCGCTCTGGTTTGCTGGAGCGCGGGTGCTGGCGCCCGAGGTTTCCCGCCCTTGCGTTTGCCGTTGCTTGCTTGGTCGGATGGCTGCCCCGAAGGCCCGCAGTGGGAGTCCATAATGGCGGCGGCGGGTCACCGGGCGGATCCACGAGGCCACAATTTGAGCTGCTAGAGGGTAGGACACTCCCCTGTCACATAAGATCATGTGAAAGCTCGAGCAGAGATGGTCTAGAGCTTCCAAGGGGTGAGCATATGTATGGTTGCCAGTGTTCCCTCTCTTTGGTCCCTGCTGGGCGGCCATCTTGGGTGTGCCCCTGCAGGCTGGTGCCCCTGCTGGCTGTGTAGCCACGGTCACTCGCTTTCTGTGTTTGTTCGCTTGGTTAGTGGGGACTGGGATAACCCCCGCCAGTCCGGGGGGGGGGGGAGATCAGGAACGCTGCTGGGGGGATCCGGTGCCGAAGAGAACGGCCACTCCCCGGCTCCCACTCCTGTAGGCCGCAGGTTGCGTTTCGGGTTCTGGGCTCCGACAGGCTCCAAAAAGGTATCTGTCGATTCTGTGGTGCACCCCCAGTGTGGGTAGCGCACCCCAGTGTGTCTTTGGGCTGAGTAGCCGTCGATATTGCAGTTTATTCTGCCCGCCCGGCAGGAGCTCTTTTCCCGCACGTCTGTTCAGCCTAGCGGTCAGACTCCGCCCCCCCAATTACTCTGAATTCTTTTTTAGTAGAATTCCTGGGTGGGGGTTGATTACCCCCCAGCCGTGAAACCAGGGGACGTTCAATCATAGAAATAACGTTACCCATTGTCTCTGTAAATCATCTCACTGCAATGAAACTGCTTGTGAAATGCCAGTATAACCACCACTAACTCTGTTATCTGTTATCTGGTCTGTGACATCACAAAATATGATCTATGATGCAGGAATAATGGCTGACTGCATAATGTCTATTGATATTATATCCAATTAAAAATAACCGAAAAAGAATTTAAATCACAGGAAAATAAACAACTTAATTTCATAAGTTGTGGTTGTGGCATTAACCCCTTAAGGACCAAACTTCTGGAATAAAAGGGAATCATGACATGTCACATGTGTCATGTGTCCTTTAGCGGTTAAAGGGATACTCTGGCCACCATGACAACTTTTTCATAATTAAGTTGTTATGGTATGATGAGGTCCATGGCACCATATCACCTAAAGGTGTTAAACCATTAACAGTTTAACCCCAGACACTTCCTCTAAAGGTGACATATATAACGATATCAAATTAGGGAACTATTTACTAAACAACTGGACTATTTAGAAAAGTTTTTATTTTTATTTTAAACTTTTATCAGATTAGTAGATAACTCCCTAATTTGGTATCTTTATGTGGGATTGCCAAATATAAAGATACTAAATTAGAGAGCTATCTAATTAACAGCTGAAAGTTTAAGAATAATTAAATCCTTTTCATAGCCAATCCCATGTTACATAGTTACATAGTTACATAGCTGAAAAGAGACTTGCGTCCATCAAGTTCAGCCTACCTCACATTTGTTTTTTGCTGTTGATCCAAAAGAAGGCAAAAAACCCAGTTTGAAGCACAATTTTTCAACAAGCTAGGAAAGAAATTCCTTCTTGACCCCAGAATGGCAGTCAGATTTATCCTTGGATCAAGCAGTTATTACCTTACATTGAAAGATTATATCCTTGAATATTCTGTTTTTGCAAGTATGCATCTAGTAGCTGTTTGAACATCTGTATGGACTCTGATAAAACCACTTCCTCAGGCAGAGAATTCCACATCCTGATTGTTCTTACAGTAAAAACCTTTCCTTTTGCCTTAGAGCGAAATCTTCTTTCTTCCAGTCTAAACTCAAAGCCTCGTGTCCTATGTAAAGTCCGGTTTGTGAATAGATTTCCACACAATGGTTTGTATTGGCCCCGAATATATTTGTATAATGTTATCATATCCCTCTCAGGCGACGTTTTTCTAAACTAAATAGGTTTAAATTTGTTAACCTTTCTTCATAGCCGATAAGTTCCATTCCTTTTATTAATTTTGTAGCCCGCCTCTGCACTTTTTCTAATGCCATAATATCCTTCTTTAGAACAGGTGCCCAAAATTGCACAGCATATTCAATATGGGGTTTTACCAGTGATTTATAAAGAGGCAAAATGATATTCTTGTCCCGAGAATGAATGCCCTTTTCCATGCATGACAATACCTTACTGGCCTTAGCCACTGCTGATTGACATTGCATATTGTTGCATAGTTTGTTGTCTATAACAATTCCCAAGTCCTTTTCGTGTGTTGTTATCCCTAATTTGCTTCCATTAAGGGTATACGTTGCATGTGTATTC